TTTAGTTATAAGTTAAGGAAGAACTAAAGTACAAGACATAATCATAACCCTCATAAAACCTTAAAATTATAATAAGGATCTTAACCAAACAATCATTTCAACAAAAGCCTCCTAATTCATCTATGTTCTCTCCATGTCTCCTCCACTCTAATTTATTTCCTCATTATCTTCCTTTTTGTCAATCTCTTGTTTTGTTCTAAGAATAATGTTTTTGAAGCTTAATGTTTGCTTACTGGTCCCAAAATTAGTTGTGCCCTAAAACTAGGTAAAAGTTTTAATGCAGGACCACAAAACTCTGTCTGAATATAATCACTAGTTACAGCTTTAATTATGCATTAATTATAGCGTAAAATGAACCTATGATTAATCAAACGTACATTGATCAATTCCTGGTTTCGTCTTTTTTTTCTTTATATACGTTGAAAGTTTTAAATCTAAACAAAACTTCAGTCAAGATCATGGGTTCATGTGTTAGCTTAATGTTATATTTACATTAACATACCGCAAAATATATTATTTAGTTTTCAAATGTTTCGGATGTTATACTTGATCTGAAACCTCTAGTATTTTAAATACACATCGAGACAATTAAATTGGATTAAGAGCCTTGATAGTTAAGATGGACCCTACATATATGTTCAAAGGATAAACACATCTCAAGAAATTCTTTGGTGGTTTAATCATTGAAACACTCTCTTCTTCCATGTTTTCCTCCTTGATGAATCATTACAAATTTACTTGGGACTTATTTTATAAGAAAAATGAATGCCCATCTTGATTAAACAATCTAAAAACATCAACGTACGAACTATACCTTTCACCATTCATATAGACAAACCCACAAGATCCTACAAGATCGGTTTTTATAAAGGATCATCATCATGAAGCTCTTCCACAAGTTCCGAAAGATTCTCATGAGGCTCATCGACTTCACTCTTCCTTGCTCCTCCCGCAGACACAAGAACTCCGGCGAGGGAGAGAGGGTTGAACCACCGAAGATATCTTGCAGTAGTTCGTACTATTCGTCTCAGGTACACTATAGTGAAGCTATCGCAGATTGCATAGAGTTCATTAATAAGTCTTCCGCTATGTCCTGTAATGCAGATCAAGAAAGCTCGTCATGTAGACGATCGTGACTGTTTTTACGTTTAATCACATCTCAAAAGCTCTCATGTTTTTCTTTCTTGCTGTAACATTTGATACGAGGCTTTGCTTTTGTTTTGTTGTATTTGAGTTGTGATTTGAAACACTATATGGTCATTTATAAGTTATCCACATTTTTAAGACTCTAGTTTTCTTAAAACTTTCTAGCATTTTCATAGTTTTCAAACTATCATACTTTGAAAAGAAATGGTGCAACTATGTGAACATTTCTTATGAGTCTAGTTTTCTTAGATTTTTCTAGCATATTCCATCTAGGTCGAACTGTTAATGTTGGGGTTTGGATATCAGCTTCTCGAGTTTTCAAATTGTAATTTCAATCATGATTAACCTTAGGACCTTTTAAATGGTGAGGCTACACGAATATTTACGTATTTTGAGGACTATTTTGGACTTTCATCAAGAATTTTCAGTAAAATTGGCATTTTATGTATATACATGATAACTTCGGTAAGAAGTAGTTATTGCTACAGTAATGACTTCTCTTCAAAAAATCACCACACTCCGTTTTCTGAATTTAAAATATTTTCCGACTAATGTCAGAGAAGAAATTGTATTATATGTTACCGGATTATTAATGAACTGCATTGGCCGAAACTAAACTCCAGATTTTCTAGATAACGGTATCATTTTTGTTTTTAAGAAAACTTTGAACTTGGAAAATGTTTTACCACATTTCCAAGTCTCACATATCACTTGATGAGAGCCATGCGGGCTTGGTTTTAATATATGTGCGTTCCAATATTAAGTTTTATTTATTTGAAGAAGGATATTCAAGAACCATTTACGAAAAAGGTCATACATATGACATTATTATCATAACCAAAACAAAACACACGAGAAAAGAGAAGAAAATTTTATAAACAAAGTTGTTTCATTGCAAAACCTTTTTCTTTGAGAAAATTCCTCCAATGAACAAAGGGATCAAACTCTTCTTCTTCGTTGTCTTCGCCATCTTCTCCTTCTTTCTCATCGAAGGGTGTCTCTCAAGAAAGATATCCACCACCGGACCATTATTATTACCCGTCGTAGGGTTTGCAAATTTCACGTATCTCTTCTCACTCATCGATCTCAACCTTGGACTTGTACTAATGGTTCCATCATCAGGAACCAACACTTCGAACTTTGTTTTGAAAACAGTATCATCGACTTTAGTTACTGGTTGATCATGAGGAACTACTCTCAGCTTCTGAAGCTCTTGTCTTGTCCTTTCAAGTTCTTCCTTGAGAGAAGACAAAGAGTTTCTCATTTGTATGCTTTCTTCTTTAGCTCTTTTGAGATTGTGTTTTGTCTCTTCAAGCTCTGTCTCAATCTTTGCTTGATCCTCAAACGTCTCGCCCTCCATCTGTTTCTTCATCAATGTTATTGTCATATTCTCGAAATCAGATGAATAAAAATTGGGCAAATCTCCAAAATAAAACTTTTTAAAAAAGTATCCAAAAATAGTTTTTAATGATAAAAATTCTTAAAATAGCAGTAAAACCATTAAATTATTTAACTTCTAAATTGTAATCCGACCCTCATTCCCTTAATAAACTTAAAGCAAAATATATTTTTTAATTATAATTAATGTTATTTTAGGAAAAAAAATTCCTTGTGTGTGGTTGTGTCATAAGAATATGATTTAATACTATTTGAAGGTATTTCTCTAAAATTCAAATCTCTATAATATTATTTGAGAAGTCAGTTTCCTACGTGTCGTACTCACGTTAACTCTCGCGATGGTTGTTTACATAGATACCCTTAATGAATTGTTAGATTTTAAGATTATTATTAATTCTTTTATTTAGTTTCCTTTTTACTTTTTTCTAAAAAAATATATATAATAAAAAGAAAATATTTCTAAAATTGTAAAACAAATTTAAAAATGAAAATATATGTATATATTATGACTTTATAAAAAAAGGAAAGCTCACAAAATAGTAATACCCCCACCAATATATATTTTTTTTAAAACATAAAATATATATTCAAAATAATAAAAATATATATGTTCATGAATATTCAAAAATTACCAGTTACAATTTTTCTTTTTGTAGAATTTATATATATGCATGAGACTTCAAAATATTATTATTATATTCATTTATGTAATTTTGAATCAAACACTTCAGTTTATTATTTATTTCATTGTAAGCATAATATATATTACGTTATACATAATTTAACTATACTATATTTACATATCTAAGACAATAACCAACCGAAATGAAAATAAGAAAATTAATCACAGTTTTATTATATTTAGAATAAAAATATTATAGCTGAATTCTAAAAATAGATATTATCCAATATACCAAATTGATAACCATACCAACTATTGATCGAAAAAATAATTAAACCGACAATGATATATCCATAGTCATATGTATAATTAGAATAATATAGTATTTATTAATATAAATTATACATATAAATTTATTCAAAACTAAAACTAAATATCAATCAATTATTATAAAATTTTACTTTTATAAATATTCATACCCGTGCATGAGCACGGGAAAATCACCTAGTAGATATATATATAGAGAGAGATGGGACTTGCCACTTTGAGATGGTTGGAATAGACTTGACTAGCTAAGACTCTCTCGCCAAACAAAGCTACGGCTTCTTTGACGGTTTTAAACGGTGCCGTTGTATCGATCTCTGCTCTCTTCATAGTCTCCATCATACCATATGGCTGCTGCTTAGCTCTGTGACGAAGTAGAGAGATACATATAAGCTTTGTGTTATAGCATGGTGGCTTTAGAATTGAGTGAAAGACGACGCAAAGCATATTAGTTTCTTCATCTGCACTTTGTCAGAATAATCTTCTTTTTAAACACTTTTTATGTACTTATGGAATATAATTTATATATAAGATTGTTCATAAAAAAACAAAGGATTGTACTAATATATTTGTTATATCATATCTAGATTAGTTAACGTGTGTGAGTTATAGATTAAAAAGAAAGAAAAATAGAAATATCATAAAACAACACTAACACTTCATATTCAAAAAATAATACACAAAAGAAAAAAATTCTTATAATATCATTAACTAAAAATTGAAAAGACATTTTATTTTATATTTGAGTTTCGGTTAGTGATTAGGATATATAATTTAATATTTTAGGGGTGGATTAGGGTAATGGTTTAGAATCTTTAGTAATTTAGTCATTTAAACGTTTAATAAAATACTATTTGGTAATTTTTATTATTTTGTCATTTTTTGTGCTATCTAAAGGATTTGGAAAAAAAAAAGTTTCATTAACTATAAGTTCTGCAGAGGCATTGTTGGATTTTATTAGCTTGATGCAAGAAACTCCAAAAGATGCTTTTAAAATCTACTTGGAACTTTGCCCTTTTTACAGAACACGTTGATCATTTATATGAGAGATATTAAGAAGTTTTCTCAAACAAGTAGGGTTCAGTCTTCTCTCTATCTTAAAAACCTAGGTCATCTGAATTTCATCACCTGAGAAAAAAAAAAACATCATCTCTAATTCCGGCGAAGACAGAAACAGAACTCTGTTTTTAACTATAAATTAGGGCATCTTCACGAGTGCTCGTTGCAGAGTAATTGCAATGGTGTTCTTGTGTCTTCACTGACATTGCAGCAGCAGCAGCCATGAGACGATGTTGCTGTTGAGATACATTGTTGATGTACCTTGGGGAGGAAGCAACGTGTATAGGTTGAATACTGGTCAGGTTTAAGGAGAGGCTTGGTTTACTGTATCGGCTCGATGATGATGGTCTGTACTGAGCAACCCACAGCCTTTTCTGAAGTTGTTGTTGCTGGATTACGTTGTAAGAGGTTTGGAGTCGACTAGCTTGATAAGGAGACATTTGCTGCATCTATAAAGATGAAAGTCACATTATTATGCAACAAAACACACTAATCACAAATTAAATTTTTGATCAAGAAAGATAAATTAGGTCACCTGTGAGCTATTGTAAGATGCAGAGATAGGGAATGGGAGATGAGATTAAATAGTAAAAGATTAACCCAAAAAAAAAATAACAGTTACGTATGTTACCTGTTTCTGTGTAGTGTGTGGTGCATAAAGCTCGAGACCAAGCTGAGTCATGTTTTCTTGCACCTGTTTTGGATTATGTGTCTTGCCTAAATCGAGCAGATGTGGATTTTGATACCTCTTGGTTGGAGCAAACATGGTTGCCACAGGATCAGGGAAACTACATTGTGACATTTCTGAAGATCTTTCTTCGGTTTGGTTAAGTGCCACGAGATTAGTACTCTTACTGGTCTGTAACGTTTTGATGAGACGACAAATGTAAATGTGGGAGGCACATCTCTTCAACTTTCTCGGAAGTACTCTTAACGTTTCACTCAAGAGTGAAGCATTATTGGTAGGAGAAGCAGCTTGAGCCATCCAATGTGGAAGCTTTGAAGAAGAGAGTAAGTTTAACAGTGTTGGCTTTGTGCTTACAGGTGCATTCACTGAGCTGCTTTGCTTCAATCTATCAAGAAAGTAATTAGAAAAAAAATAAACCAAAAGAAAAGTTATTAAAGGGGAAGTAGTCTGGTACAAACCCGGTTAAGCTGCATTGGTTATCATCAATCTGCTTAGGTTTGGATGAAAACTGAAATGAAGCTGATCGTTTAAGTGATTCAGCTTTGGTGATAAAGTCAGTTTCCAGACCCAAGAGTGAGTCAACTTTGCTGGTTTCTTTACCATCAGACAAGAAAGGCTCATAAGTCTTCTTATAAGTGGAGTCAGTGTCAGTAAACATATCAGCTAAACCGTATAGCGTCTCTGCAACTTCTTTTTCATCTTTTGAAATGGACTCATTAACAATAGCTTTTGCATCCTAACCAATACAAAAAGAAAAAGATAAATTGACTAAACAATATAATTTTACAGAAAAAAAAAATATATTCAGTCATCAATCAAAAACCAACCATTTCTTGATTCTCCTTCTTAACAGATTCAAGATTCCTCTTCTTCATGGCTGCAATCCAAAGTTCACAAAAAGAGATAGTAGTGAAAATTTTACTAAAAATTATGATATGGTAAGAGTAAAAGTATGTCATTGAGACACAAACAAGGCACCTGAACGAAGCTTCCTTGGTACAGAAGCATGATGATCCACACCATTAGTGTCCTGAAGATGAGAGAAAAATACAAAAGATAGAATATTATGAAATAATGAAATTAGAAGGGACTTATTGTTGTGAAGTAAATTTGAGTTTACGTATAGATGAAAAAGTTACCTTTTTGGGAAGCTTAGACTTCTTCTTCTTTGAAGAGATGTCAGTTTCTAAACAAATCATCTTCTCTTGTTTCTTATGATTCATGTTCTCATCAACATCAGCTAATCCCAGTTTCCTCAAATTCCTTTCTTTGATTTTCCTAATTCCATGAGCAGAGCAATTGAAGTTTAAATGTAAAAAGACAAACAAAAAATGAGAGATAATTCTGAATTTTTAAAATTAAAGATTTGTAAATTTACGAGATAGTTTATTGGACAATCGATTGGTTACTCCTCCACGTCTCACATATTCCATCTTTACGATTCACCCTTGTCTCCTTTCTTCACCACTCAAAAATAAGAAAAGATGTGTGAAGATGAAACACGCAAGAGAAGGTTGTATAGAGAAAAAATTCTCACGTCCACATCTCTGCAAAACAAAAAAAAAGAGAGGAAAGTAAAATAAAAAAGATAGTTTAAAGAGAGAAAAGTTATAAAGATCGTTTCTCGTGTATCTCGAAGAATCAGCTTCTTCTTTATAAAAGAAAGACAAGAAACTAAAAGACAGTTTAAAGGAGGATTTCTACATCCAACCCGTGATAAAACATAGTTTGAAAAATAAATTTTGAAAATTTCAATTTTCATATAGTGAAAGAAACAAAGAATAACTTCATTAAAGGTCTTCAATCTAATCAAACATTGATTTGTAACTGACACAAATATAGTGAAAGAAAAAAAAAAAAAAATCGCGGGCCGTCACGTATCATGGAGCCCGCGCGCTACAGTGATAAATTTTAGGAGAGAGGAAATTATAGAATTTTGTTATTTTAATATTTTTTTATGTTGAGAAGTGTGCGAATCCCATCTAAACCTTTATGGAAGTGTTCTAACTAGGTTAAAACTTAAAACAGTACAAAGTTCATCGTGAAACACAGAAACTATAAGCTATAGCGGAAAAAACATGTAAGAGATCAAATGAAAACCTTGTGGTCTTTCTTCGAAAGCAGCAGGATAATGAAACCAATCTCACTATCTCTCTCTTAAACTAGAATAGTTTTCTCAAAGTTTGCACATTCCGGCAAAAAAGAAGACAGATAATTCGAAGCTGTCGCTTCACTCTCGATCGCTTTTATAAGTGTCAGTCACACACGAAATGACTAAACGCTTACTCACTCTCTCAATCGAATGATGTGTAATAAAGAAGAACTTATGACCGTCCGATTGTTTTAAGTGTTCTTCTGCCACGTATAATTGAGCAGATCATGTGTCAGACAAAGTTTGCATTTAAGACCTGAAAATGTACTGTTTCTGCATGGGTTTCCTATGAGATTTGATTTGGATCCGTACTATAAATGAATCCCACTGGATTTTTTCTTATTTCTTTTCCAGCCAGTTTATAATTATGCGAAAATAATGTAGTCTTAATTCTTTTCATTTTCTACGTTTCATTTTCTATTTTATTAATTGAAAACGTGATTTGTAATATATTAGGGTGATCAATGGTTTCCAAATTTTGGAGATATCCAATTTTACTTCAACATCAAATGTATTGGTATTAAATATGGTTGGGCCATTTACTATCTTCTCTATTAAAAGAGAAGTACCAAATTTATCTACTATTTAGAAGTCATATTGGACCATGTTATTAATTACTTAATTGACATATTTTATTGTTACATTAACCAGTCAAATATATATGATTTTCACAATATCTTAATAACTAATAAGAACATTAATAATAAATAAATTTAAATATAACAAAATCTGTTGAAAAAATCTAACAAGATCTTACCAAAAATTTTAAATATTTTTTTTACAAAATAAATATTTCTTTATATCGTTATTAGATATGATTATAATTAAAACTAAAATATAAATCATATATTAAAAAAAATTAGTTATATATTTATAAAATGAAAAATATACCCGCACGGATGTGCGGGTGAAACTCTAGTTCATATGTTTATAGGACTAAACATCCAATCTTTTGGAACACATCATATAGTTGAGTGATATTAATTAACTTAGAACTACTATTGATGATGGAGTCTGCAACCCTTTATAACCAAACTATTCACCCCACAAAGCTATGATAACATCATATAACGGGTCCCCTCCATAACTCAAACGTCTGGCCTGTCTTCCATTAATACGAGAAGAAAGAATGTCACAGAGTTTTTTTTGTATTTCTCTCTTCCCTTAATGACTCGTCCAATCAAGGCAACACTAACTAAAAGTGTGTCTGAAGAGGTAGAAACACATTCTGGCCCCTGAACTCTAGTCTCTAGAGAGAGTTTTGATGAGTTTTCGCTCAGATGTTTCAACACTTCATTCGGACTGAAATCTGCTGCCAACTGTCTACTGTGTCTACCAAATTAATAAACATATTCGTCTCCATTTTGATATAATGATTTTGATTGATGAGTTTCACTACATATTTGATGTTGGGTAAAACATGCTTTGGAAAAAGGCCCATTGTTACTATTTGTTAAAGCCCATACAATTTTATAAAAACGACCCATAATTTTAATTTGAGTAGGCCCACTCATGTGACAATGTAATAGTTTATTTAAGCTAATAGTTATTATTTAGTGGATATAAAAGTTCTAATAAAATCAGTCAGCAAATATGCCTCCGTAGCATAGTGGTATTGCGTTCGCTTCGTAAGCGAAAGGCCGCGAGTTCGATCCTCGCCGGGGGCTTTTCTCTTAAATTTAATTTTTGTTTGTCTACCCGCAAGTGCCCAAGTTAAAAAGGCATTTGCTCAAATTGCTAGATTGGTGTTGCAATGTCGAACGTACTCATATGCTAGTTTTACAGCAACTTTGCTACTATCGCTTCCATAACGTAGACATCTTTTTTCTTCTTTCTTTTTTTCATACATAAATCAATGTGCTTTTCAGCTACTATTCTCTATTGTATGGATTCTATGGACCACAATTTTGAACATGTTCTACCACCGTTACCAAATAATCATCGATGCTAACAAAAAATCGATCACAAAAAAAATCAATATAGAAATTTGTGAAACACCTTTATAAAAATATGTAACATAATCAATCAGACCCAATTGTTCTTAAGTTGTTTCTTGAATTCAAAATCACTGAGGAAAATCATATTATATAATCAATCATTTATAAAGCAACATAACTTTATTTAGAAAGTGAAATAACACAACGAGATTATTTCATGCAACGAATGGAAAACCAAAATACTTGCAACAAATAGACCAATTAATAATACAGCACCACACACAAAGGCGACGTCCGGCTCTCATGACTTATTCGATCCACATACAAATATCATATATGCAAACAAATACTAACAAACAAAACGACAGAGTATTGAATTCAACATCCACAGCAATTTGGGAGTATGCATTTTTAACTTAAGGGCACTTGCGGCGACCACCATGGGTGGTGAGGGTAGCGTAGCACTCGCACTTGTCGTAGTTTCCGTATGTACCAGGTGGTACACAGTTGCACCTGGCGCAACAGGTCCCGCACGCTCTGTGACAAAGGTTCGGTCTACTTGAGAGCCTGCACCTTGCTACACAAGCACTTCCACAATCTACAAAACCAAACATTTATTAAACGTTAGTATTTATATATATATACCATGTATGATATACGTAGATGTGTGACCGTATAGGGTAATATATTTTTACCAATTTTACTGCCGTAACCACCTTTTTTGTTTGAGGTTTCCTGAATAAAAATGATCAAATGTAAACATTGCGTTTAAATTAATAAATAAGCATACATTATAAATAACTGTGATGAAAAACACGTACCACATCGGCCTGAACGAGTTGGAGAACAAGAAGAGATACGAGAAGAGACGCAACAAGGGCTTTTGAAATCGCCATAATTCTCGAAGGAGACGACTTATAATATGGAGATAACTCTAATGAAGATAATATGTGTGTTTTGAGTTTTGTTGTGTCTAAATGAAAACTTGGAGGGTTCTATTTATAGCCCTCCTTTCGATAGATATCCGACCCCATATTATGGTCTAGACTATTCTTTTGTTTTAATGATTTCTTATTAATAGTTTCCTGGAAAATATAATATTAGCTTTCCGAGTTCCAGAATTCGAATATGATAAGATAGGAAGTAGCCAAGTAGCACTTTGCAACAGTTACTAATGATCATGAGCCAAATGAAATAAATTAAACGCACTTTAAGAAAAAAATATTGGAAGGTCATTAATTTTTAATTTTGTACCATTTATAATTTTTCAATAACTAGTTTTTACGATGAACAGTTAATTAAGAGATAAAAAGTGGTTTTACATTTTGATGTTTAGGTGTGTATATAAGATACTTTTCTCCTTTTCGAAATGGGTCGGTTGGTGCGTATAAAAGTTGTGCGTACGCGTAGAAGAGAATATGATGGTGGGTATAATTTGTGGTCTCTTGTTTTAATTTTCTCAGATGATTCGGTATAACTTTTCTCCGCCTTATTTAATTTATAGATTATTTGAACTTTTTTTGGTTTGTGAATCTTGCTTTAATGATCAGATAACTACAAGCCAATTTACTCCTACTATATAAGTTTATCGACTTCTATCATTAAACGTACACCTAAACTGCTAAACAGTAAACTCCATTATTGATCTCGTTTGGGTTGATACGTTTTGGTTCTACCAGAAATATTGGTTTATGATATATATAATATAATTAATATGATAATTCAAGATTTGATATTCATAGTGAGCTTGTTTATGAAATTTTGACGTATACACGGACTGCTCGTTCCAGTTTTGAAATATCTTTGCTCTTTGCTTCGATACATGTGATCAAGTGAAAAAGGTAGAACTATTACCATTATCAATTTGTTATACTTTTAAAATGGAACTTGCTAGTTCCAAAACATCTAGTGTTAATCGAAACTGAGTTTGGTATGTTTTAGCAAACAGATTAACATATTATCACAAGCATTTTAAAATTGTGTTTTTGGTTTTGTATAGGTAATGTCAAGTTGTGTTGATCACCGTTGTTCGAAATGGATCAAAATTATTTGAGGACATTAAGAAAAAAAAAATGATCAAAATAATATGGGAGGACATTATGAAATTGTGAGTAATTGATCGTGACGAAAAGGGACTTTAGAAGAGTTGATGTGGATGAGACAAGAAGGATGAGGAGATGTTGACGTGAGAGGTCCTTTGAGAATACTTCATTTCACAGCTTGCAACTTCTTCTACTCTGTTATGACCCACTCTTCTTGATCTCTATAATTCCTTTTGTTTTAAATCGGTTTCTAGATCAATCTTTACGATTTGTTTTAGCACTAGTATTTGTATTTTTATGGTCCACTCTTCGCTGTATTATTGATATAGTTTGTATAAAAGTTATTCGTAGTTTGACGTTTTATGTTTGGATATTGGATTATTGATAAACCAAAAAAAAAAAAACACGTTTGTGCTACATGAAACTCAAAAAGAGGAAGTAATGAAGAGATCCATTAGTTTGGCAACAAATTTTTATCAAGAAACGATGTGTTTAATCTGAAGAGGCCTTCAAAAAGTCGATGATAGCCTGGTAGGTAAGCTTTTGTGAACCAAAAGTTTTGGATCAGCTTGCTTGCAACGGTTGGCATGGCTTGAGAGTTTCGAAATTACAAGGGGAGCGAACACGGTAAAAGGAAGAGAAAGTGAAATGTCACGGATTGTCTGTCTTCAGTGATTAGCCTTTTCACCAAACTTATCGACTCAACCACCATCCCGCACGCACACTACACAAAGTCTATACTCTATAGTATACCATAATCTTTTAATTTAATATTAATAACTGAGGAAACATATATTTCTGTGCATGGGAATGTCACTTCAACTATAATGTCTGACACATAATATCACACGTTCGGTAGTCGTCACTTCACTAAACTCTACGTTTAGTCAAATCAAAATTTGCACCCAACTTAGAGTACTGTCCTAACTCGTAAGTATTAGATGTTTTTGGTTTATATATCGACCACAGAAAGGGCTTCCATATAGCTCCATTAATATGTCGATAATTAAGCAGAAATTATCGCATGGTAACAATTTAAGTTTTAAGGAACATTTATAAAAGAACCGAGAATATTTATCATGATTGATGAATAATAACATAACTAGAAACGATGAAACGTAAAGGGCAACATTAGTTTCCTAAATTAGTAGTTGTTTGAATAATTTGAATCTTGATCGTCATTAACTCAGAGCTAGGTTTTAGCATGCCATGCTGTCAAAAATAAACAATTTTCTATGCTTTAAGAAGTGTTTTCAAGATATCGTCCTCGTGAATTAAACTAACAAATGTATAATAAAGGAAACGCAATTAAATGAAAAAGTGATAGAGAACTGAGTTCTTTAGCCAGCTGTGAAGTGTTGTTGTTCACTTAACAGCTGTTATGTAGCTAATCGCCAACCTGTTATCTCTTTTTACTTTCTTTTGTTCCCATCCCAATATTTTTATAAATAGATACCTATGGACCTATTTATTTTTATAAATAGATACCTATGGACCTATCTCATTTATATTTTCAATTGACTTTCTTTTCATTAAAAAAGGTTGATGAAATAGAAAGCTAATAAATTAATTTTACCTCGTCCTTGTATTTGTCATTATACTCAACTTGTGCGAATATACATGTAAATTGTTAGGTTAATGATATTTATGTTTTATGTAGAACAAACATGTGTTTGGAGCCGCAACTATGTAAAAGTTTCTTATGATATTAAACAGCTAAGAGGACATAGGTTCGAAATATCTAAAAGTTTATAAATATTTTGCTAATTAGTGGCTCAAAAATAATTTGTATGCTTAGATAACCTAAACATTCAGGCCCGGTTCTTTTTATATGAGTCAAATGTTGCCTTTGCTCATACGAGTTCCACCTAAACTTGAAGAAAGATTACTGTAAATGGAAACATGTTCACTCCACGAAATAAAGTTTTGAAGAATATTTGGTATAGACATCAAGTAATTGGTGGAATATTAGGTGATATGGATTACAGAGTTTCCAGCTGTAGCCGCCGCCAAAAGAGTCGAAATCGAATTAAAAGTTATTTGGATTAGCTCAAGAGTCTTAAACAAGTGAAAGAAACAAACAATAGCTGCATGCATCAATCATCATCACCCTTTAAAGTCTTAGATAGTAGCTAATTCGTGCATGAGATAACGATAAATACTCATTACAGTCATTTGCATTACCTGATGCATATCCAAATAATTATTTCTTATTTCCTCAAACTTAGTTTTAGACTTAAAGTTTATAACAAGAAGTTGTTCAAGTAAAAACCTACAAGAGAGTATCATATTTGTAATATAGTATTTGCAACCTAAATTAAAGTTATGATTGAATAACGAATGCATTTGTAAATAGTAGTATCTATTCTACTATCCATATATATATTACCATCTAAGTTTTTCATATTAGTAAAAACTAAAAATGATTAAAAGCTGAGAGCCAAATATTAAATTGACAAAATCTTTAATCCACTCCCTTGTTTGTTACATTAGTCTAAAGCAAGAAACAAAGAGTAAGAAGGGTGGCCTGCAAAAAACATAGAGCCAAACTCCAATACAATGACAAGAGCTTAAAGCCACACACCGTATCTTCTTCTCTCTTCTCTCAACACATTTTACACAACACCTGGTGGGAGACGGAGAACTAGCTGGCCACCCATTAAACTGCCAAACGCCAAAAAACATAAAAAGAAGATCATTATTAAGTTTACATTACTAGATAGCATCAAATAATTTCATCAAATAAAAAGCATTTACCTCTTGACATAGTAGTAACAAAAGTCAGCAAGAATAAAAGTTTGTATAACTTCAGAGAGAAGGACCATTATAGGCCAAAACCCATATCCTAAAGCAGTCAATAACCTCCCTCGAGTTTCCAAAACCTGAAGGACCCAGTGTGCACAACTCAAGAACCTAGCTATCCCCAATGCAAATACGTAATGTGCTGTGAATGGCTCCACGATCTGAGACAAAGACAAAGTGTTACTAGCTTAAATCAGTACAAAAAAATATAGATAACTTATTTCAAAGCTTTTACAAGTACCTTAGTGTTTTGCATGACTCTAAGTTGAGGAAGAACTGCAACAGCTTCAAGGTAAACACAAAATGACCATGAAACTTTATTGATCATATGATGACGTGTCGATGGGTGAAACAAAACTGACAGAACAGCACACGGTATAACCTGCAGACATTAATGCAACTCAAACTGATATTCAAATTGAAAGAAATGTTGATTATTTTTCAATCAAGTTTCAAAAATATAAATGACTCAATTCTTTAAAGACACAAGTTGAGATCTCCGAAAAGACATGAACTTACAATGTAGTAGATAGGAAAATTGTCTTTGTCTTCCATGTAAGTGGCTTTGAGTTTAAAACGAATCATATAGACAACCCAAAGGGTAGTCACCAATGTAGCAGAATCAAGCAATGTGTGAATATCAAACTCCATCACAAAACTACAATACAATCTCACAGCCAAAAACAGAGCCGTTAACTCTTGTGTCTTGAGAGACAATCCTATCAGAAAACACAAAACAAAAGATTACAATAATTAACCCTAATTTCGAGAATTTGGCAAGAGATTTGATTTACCAGCGCAAGTCTTCTCCTTGGTGAGTTTGTAGATGAGAACGGAGATTCCAAGGGCATGTGTAGCCTCAGCAGCGACGAAAAGGTTGTCGTGATCATGAACGATCATTCTTAACAAGAGGAGAGCTGTCATGGCCGAAACAACACCGAGAAAGGTTTTGACTTTCGGTGGTTGCCGGCGAACCCATGTTGTAACGGCGTGGATTGGCTTCGTCGCCGCCTTCATCTCCGATTTCACTTCACTGGAGATAGGAAACAGTAATAAAAGTCTAGGTAATTTGGTACGAACCAAATCTTAAAGAATGTTATTACAAAACTAAAAAGAAGTCGAAAAGCTGTTACACTTTACGACGGTGACACGTGTTGAAAACATGGAAAGTCAATTTTGTTTAGGTGCAAAGTAGATTCGCGGTGAGCCAACGACTGCCTTGTCTCCTTGTACTTGTAGTGCCCATAGATAAAGTAACGGGTGGGTATTATTTTGGGCCTGGATATTCTATTAGATTAAAAACATTAAATTTACAATAAAATTGCAAATTTTTGCAGACCTACTAAGCATTGGTTAGGCTCACTATATTAAAGCCCATCAATCCTACCAGCCTTCTAACGATTCACGGCTTTATACAAAAACCCCGATTACAATCTAGGTTGCATGAAAGCTTCGTCATACGCTTCCCGCTTCGGAACCAGAATCAGAATTTGTGGAATTTCTTGAAATCTCAATTTCATTGCGCTTCCAAAAAAATATTTTTTAAAACACATTGGAAGCTTTACGATTCCATTTTGGAATCACACTTCTGTTTTAAAAGATTCAGTGTCATAAGTAAATAAGAATATAAGAAACAATGTTTTTATTTTTATATAATAGTGAAATAGAGAATAAAGTATACAATTATTAAAACTAATATTATAAATTATCTTTATGCATTGAGGATTTATTAAAGATATATCGTATATATTCAAATAGATTGTGTTAATTATTTACGAAATATTTAAAAAATAATTAGTATAATAATATCTTATAAATTTGATTTATGTATATTTTCACGGTTTTAACCTAAATCGTTTAAAATTATTATAAATAAATAAATGTTTTATTTCAAATTTGAATCTAATAAATTCTAGTTATATTTGTAATTTTTTATATTTTAATATGTGTATATATATATATATACATATATATACGCTTCCAACACGTTTCTGTTTTTTAATTTTTTTAAAAAAATCTCACTTCTACGCTTCCATACAATTCCGCTTCCGCGTATCCGCTTCTGTTTCCATGTAACATAGATTACAATTACATACATATATATGACATAGCCATTGGCCTGCAACTGTGAGAAACGACTATATAAAATAGCTTGTTGTTCGTTTCTTTATTTTACTACGTACTAATCAAAATTATTAATTCAAGTCGCTGAAAAATTCTACTATTGAAATTTTTAATTTCGGAAATTTTAATTTCTGCAACCAGTCACATGATGATGCAACAAATACACCAACAACATTCTATCACCAGTTGTAGTTGCATGTCGTAATTACTAGTAAACGAACAGGGCCCATGATGATCACAACGATTTTTTGTGGGAACACACATAAAACTCTCGTGGCGATTTCATTGTCATACGAAGTGAATGCCAATGTTAGTGTATTCCCTGTGCTATATCGTGCTGATTTTGAGAGCGGATCAGTTATGGTGTGGACAGTGCAACTCTAAGAGGAGATAGCAGCGCTAAAATGTTTCAGAAACTCCGTTTGTAATGCATTGGTATTCAGCCTCGGCTCGGCACGTGAACGACATACTCTTGATCAGTGGACAACTGGCTCTACACTCGTTAAACCAAGTCAAACCAAACATAAAAATATTACAGCTTGCGGTAGTCGGCATCCAATCCTTTAGGGTGTTTTGTTTACGCTTAATTAACTAAGAAAAGATTGTTCGACCAAACAAAAAAATACTAACAAATGATTATCCATTCTATATTTGTATCACCTTAGTAATGATATTGTATGGTTTTAGAAGAACAAGTCTTTGCCTCAAATGGCTAACGCGGTATTACAAAAAAAAAAAAAAAAAAAACAAGTCTTCTCTACATCATTTTTACTAATCTAGAAGGTATGAATTAAATTAATGGTCTACTTGTAAGCCTAATTGCAAAATCAAACAGTTGATTAATGAACAAGTTAAATTGACATTTATTTTATGGTCTACTTGCAAATTCCTTGCTCAAAGCTTATTTATTCCAATCGTCTCTCCGTTTGTAGCTACGAGATCATCATAGGCTCATAGCTATGTCTTTTTCCGATTACATCGTGTCTCGTTCTCTTTATATATGGCTTTTTTTTTTCCTCAACTTCTTAGTATTACTTGGAAAGTCTCAAAAGGCAGATATTCAAGTCAAAGTGGGAGTCGTTCTTGACACAAATTCACCATTAGCAGGTTTGAGCTTGCGAGCTATCAACATGTCCCTGTCGGAATTCTACAACACTCATAATGGCTTCAAGACCAGGATCGTCCTCAACATTCGAGGCTCCAAAGGAACTGTCGTTGGTGCTGCAGCTTCAGGTACACATTATTGCATTGTCAAACTTCATCTATAAAATTTAATATTTACCATTACTATATATGTTAAAAAATTATTAAGCAAAAGTTCTTATTTAGGATTTATTTCCATCAGATGTTAATGCATGTACTGTCCATACTATATATTATTTTTCATTCTCTTATTCATATTCTATATATAATTTTCTAACACTTAAATTAGCGGCCGGTCACGGCAGGTTACGGACCTTGCGGTCAATGCCGCAGACCTCTCTATGTGTTGAACGTTATACATTTAACACATGAACAATCCCAGCTATATACGAAAAAGACCTGTGATCAATGATAGATCTAAAGATCAAGGTCATATGAATTCACGTAGTTGCCTAAATCGGCAAATGAGTCATATGAATTCAAAAGCGGAAGGAAATTTATTAGTAATGTTTGAGAAAATTATAACATATATTTTCACCAAATACAAGGGTGTAGACATAAAGAATTGACAAAACCGCTAACTTTAAAGAAATGTAACACATTTTATCATATCATTAAAACACACAACTTTAGAAAACAGAGATTAAAACCCTAAATTTTAGAATATATGGTTCCGTATTCGTTAATATGCGCATCCGATAATACTGTAGTTTTGCAAAAATCGGCATATATATCTACAGATATAAAATAAAAATAAAGATCGTCATGCATCTAAAAACGTAGAATAGTTAAAAGAAAATATTAAAATGTATAATATATATGAAATATATTAGTCAAAAAAATATTTATGAAATATGAATAATAACTTTGAAAACAATGCATAAAAAACAGCTAGAGCATAATGAAGAAGATATGAGGAAAAAATAACAAAACAAATATGATAATTTGATATGTTATCAAATTAATTTTATATGTAGTCTTCTATTATAAATGACATAATACATGTATTTAAGTTATCTGGATATCAGGAGTTAATTTCTTTAAATTAAAATATTCGGACTGTTCATTTTAATAAATGTTAACCTTAAATTTGCAGCTTTATACTTGATAAATAAGAGGAAAGTGGTGGCCATTATTGGGCCGGGGACTTCAATGCAAGCTCCATTTTTAATCAACCTCGGAAACCAATCTCAAGTTCCGATCGTTTCATTCTCTGCAACAAGCCCCCTTCTTGATTCCCTCCGAAGCCCATATTTCATCAGGGCCACACATGACGATTCGGCTCAAGTTCACGCTATTAGCGCCATCGTAGAATCATTTAGATGGAGAGAAGTTGTAACTATTTACGTGGACAATGAGTTTGGAGAAGGCATTCTTCCTTACCTAGTCGATGCTTTTCAAGAGATTAACGTTCGTATCCGACACCGAAGCGCTATATCATCACATTTCACCGATGATCAAATCAAGAAAGAGCTTTACAGACTAATGACCATGCCCACTAGGGTTTTTATCGTGCACATGTTGCCTGATCCCGGATCAAGGCTTTTTAAGATAGCGCGGGAGATTGGTATGCTAAATAAGGGATATGCATGGATTGTTACAAATGGTATAGTTGATCTCATGAGTTCAATGGAAGGATCAGGCTTGGAGGATATGCATGGTGTCTTGGGTGTCAAGACATATTTCTCTAGGTCAAAAGAGCTAGCTTATCTTGAAGCTCGTTGGCGAAAAAGATTTGAAGGAGAAGAGCTACACAATTTTGGATATTGGGCTTATGATACTGCCACAGCACTTGCAATATCTGTTGAAGAAATAAGTAACGTAAACATGAGTTTCAATACAACCAAAAACATTTCGAGAGGTGATATTGGGACGGATCTTGATGATCTTGGCCTCGCTCTCTCTGGTCCTAAGCTTCTCCAAGCATTATCAAAGGTCAGTTTTAAAGGCGTTTCCGGGAGATTTCAGCTAAAGAACGGGAAGGTAGAGGCAACAACTTTCAAGATAGTCAATATGGAGGAAAGTGGGGAACGAACAGTTGGATTTTGGAAGTCAAAAGTTGGACTAGTGAAGAGATTAGGAGAGAACAGCTCGAGTCGACTTAGACCTATAATATGGCCTGGGGACACTACTCTTGTGCCTAAAGGTTGGGAGATTCCAATAAACGGAAAGAAGCTGCGGATAGCAGTTCCAAAAAAAGATGGTTTCACCAATTTTGTGAAGGTAGTAAAGGATGCAAACACTAATGCTCTAACCGTTACTGGGTTTTGCATAGATGTTTTCGACGCGGTAATGAGACAAATGCCATATGCTGTCGCTTACGAGTATGTCTCCTTTGAAACTCCTGATGGAAAACCTGATGGAGATTACACTAAAATGGTTCACAAAGTGTTTCTTGGGGTAAGTTGCATTGATTCCTAGACCATGAACCTTTTTTTATTTATAACTTTGATAAAAAGGGTTTTTTTGAAAGATATAACTGATAACTAGTTAAAAGGGATAGATTTTTTCTATTAAGAATTTTCTTTAAAATAGTCATTTATGAAATTTAATGAATCAACGAATTTCTAACTAGAAAGATTTTTTCAAATGAATGTTGTTGTTTTTATGTGATGATATATAATATATTTTCCATTTTTAAAAGTTTTAAGTATTTATGAAGATTTTATTCCATAATATGCAGTCTAATTGAACATAATATTGAGTTTAACTTCTTTTTCTCAATATGATGTTAACAGGAGTTTGATGGAGCTGTAGGGGATACAACAATCTTGGCTAATCGGTCCCATTATGTTGATTTCGCATTGCCATACTCAGAGACGGGTGTTGTATTCGTGGTGCCGGTCGAGGATAAGAGAGAGAAAGGAGAATGGGTCTTCTTAAAGCCTTTAACAAAGGAGCTCTGGTTTATCATTGCTGCTGCGTTTATCTACATTGGGATCATGGTTTGGATTTTTGAGTATATAGCAGATAAAAATTTCAGGACCCAGAAGAAAATTGAAAAATTTTCTAACGTGTTCTACTTCTCATTTTCTACCCTATTTTTCGCACACAGTGAGTTTATTTTGTCTTGTTTTTACTATTGCATTAGTGGGTTTATTTTGTCACAAATTCTGTTTGATCATACTAACTCTAATGACCACATTTGCAATATTTTATTTGTAGAGAAGCCATCAACGAGCATTTACACAAGAGCTCTTATTGTCATATGGTGTTTTGTGGTGCTGATATTGACTCAGAGCTACACGGCCACACTCACATCGATGCTCACGGTTCAAGAGCTTCGACCAACCGTGAGACACATGGATGATCTAAAAAAGAGCCAAGTGAATATCGGATATCAAAGGGGTTCGTTTACATTCGAAAAGCTAAAACAAGAAGGCTTCAAAGAATCTAGGTTAAAGATTTATAATTCTCCTGAAGAAATGCGTGAGTTGTTCCTCAAAAAGAGCAGCAACGGTGGTATTGATGCTGCGTTCGATGAAGTTCCATACGTAAGACTTTTTATGGCAAAATATTGCAAAAAGTATACCATGATCGAGCCTACTTTTAAGGCAGATGGCTTTGGCTTTGTAAGTAAAGCATTATAGTTTGTTTTTTAGTTAGCATTGTGGAAGTGTTATTATTATTAAACTCTCTATGTTTTTGTTTTGGTAATTAAGGCTTTTCCATTGGGATCTCCGTTGGTACCAGATATTTCAAGACAGATCTTGAACTTAACAGAGGGAGAGAACATGAGAGCTATTGAGAGCAAGTGGTTCGTTGAAGAAAAATATTGTCAGGACCGGAACACAACTGATACTCCAATCCAGCTTAATCGAGACAGCTTTCAAGCTCTATTTATGATCGTCTTTGGTATCTCTTTGCTTCTACTCTTTATCATGCTGTCTTGTAGAAGATACCGAGAGGGCCGAGGAAACATGAACGGTGCTCCACATGATAATCCAGGCGATGGGCCTGATGACCATATGCTTCTATTCTTGCTCATGTTGGCTTTTAGAAGATACCAGCAGAGACGAGGCAACATAATCGTAGCTCAACCCAATCCTCCAGACGATGGGCCTGACGGTCAAGACAACGCACGAGATACTCAAAACCGTGATTTTAATGAAGGTGGAGAGGAAGCCAGTGAAGAAGGTAATGATGAAACAGATGATATTGAGCATCATATTTTGGAAGTACGTGAAGGAGGTAGTGTTAGAGATGGAGATCATGAAACAAATGATATTGGGAAAGTCAGTGAAGTACCTATGGTGCAACTACAAAGGCAAAAGTCACAATCAGGCTTAGTTCACCGTCGCAGCAAGAAACTCAGCTCAAAGACTATGCCCTTAAGAAAGGGACTCCCACCTTTAAGGATGCATTTGGCATAGTTTAAAGAGGTCTTCAATCCAAGTCTCGGTGTGACTTCAGTTTGAGTTTTTCCGATTTTATAAAAGTTTGTATTGTTCATATACTATTGGTTGGAATTTTCAATAAATGTATAACTAAGTCACAAATGGCCATTAGTTTTTTTTTCAAATTTTTGTATATTTGTAGAACCCAAACCCAAAAGAATTTTGATATAAAAAGGCCTCTAGAAAAACCCTACAAAAATTAATAAAAAAGGAAGAAGAAAAGACAAAACATTTATTTAACCAAAAACAAAAAACGTTACGACACGTGTCACAAACCTAGACCATCAAATGCTTTGTGATATATAAAATCGAAACAAAAAGCTTCCCAAAAGATTTATCTTCTTCATCATCCCCAAATCGTCTCAACTCTCTCAAGCGACTCCCAAAATAACATTACTCGAATGTTACCGAAGAAGAAGAAGAAACAGAGTGTAACAACAACAGAAGATCACACTTCGCTCCTTTACCGTAGCATGGAAGGTAAACAAGGTTTCTTCGATGAACCCGAATACGAAGTTTCTTCCATCTTATTGCAACTCTCGCACCCTGTCGTGTTCTCTTCCGACCCTCCTCTTTTTCATAAATGGGGTCGCACTAAGAAGAGGTCATGTACCGTCTTCCTTCGTCCACCGAAGATTTTGCCGCCGTGTGCGGAGGTCGCCGCCGAGATGGGAAGTACTTCAAGTTCTTCGTGTTTAACCGGCGATGCCAAGAAAACATATCCTCAAAGCGTAATTCTTAGTTTTTTATTTTATTTTCTGATTATTTTTCTATTAACTTCTGATTTATTGTTTGTATTAAATGACAGGTTAAAAAAGGGTTTGAAGTAGAATTGTCTACTACAAATCAAAGGTCGAAGCTGAAGATTACTTCTCAGACAAAAGCATCATCATGTTCGGTTCTCGAGGTTGTTTTGTTTATTTTTCCATTTTATTTTTGTTTTTCCTAAAGATAGAAAAAATATTATTTCCATTTCTGAAACATTCTGTGAATATATACAGACGGAGACGGGTTTAATTGGGGCGCAAGTTGGGTTACTACAAGCCCAGCCCATTGGAGAAAACCTGCGTCATCTACAACCGTTGATTTACGCTGGTGATGATCCTACGGCCAACAAGAGAGATAACTCGGAACTACGTGGCTTTGATCTGAACCTTCCAGCGGAAGAAGAAGGTAACCTTATAGCCACCACAATGGTTGTTGATTTTCAGAGTGTAGCTAACAAAGCTCAAGCCGCTGCTCAAGCAAGACAAAAAAGATTAGGTTTAATTAGATCTAAGAAGCGTTTTAATAGATTTTTATCTCCATACCAATTCAAGTAGGAATGGGGAATTAAAGAAGAAAAACTTTCTGGAAAGATTTTGTTGCTAATATATAGTTTTTTATGCGAATATGTAACCAATATTGAAAGTTTTCATTTCTTGAATATGAAATAAAAGCTTAAAGGAGATAAAATTATTATTACAAAACAAGGCATTGAGAAGTAAAAAATAAGAACAAACCAGGTTGCAAAATACAATAACAAGTAAAAAACCATAAGAAAGATTTTTCAACACATTCAACTTGATATGTATATTATATAGTAGTAGTAGTAGGGATAGAGAGAATCAAGATTCATAAGCTTCCTCCTCTTCTTCATCCTCGTACTCACCTTCTTCCTCAGCAGTAGCATCTTGGTATTGCTGATACTCAGCCACAAGATCATTCATATTACTCTCAGCTTCAGTAAACTCCATCTCATCCATACCTTCACCAGTGTACCAATGCAGAAAAGCCTTACGCCTAAACATAGCCGTGAACTGTTCACTCACTCTCCTAAACATCTCCTGGATCGAAGTCGAGTTTCCTACAAAAGTAGAAGCCATTTTGATACCGATCGGTGGGATGTCACAGACGCTGGACTTGACGTTGTTTGGGATCCACTCCACGAAGTAAGAAGAGTTCTTGTTCTGGACGTTCAAGATCTGCTCGTCGACTTCTTTTGTGCTCATCTTTCCTCTGAACATGGCTGAGGCTGTTAGGTAACGTCCGTGGCGTGGATCAGCTGCGCACATCATGTTCTTGGCGTCCCACATTTGTTGGGTGAGTTCGGGGACTGTGAGGGAGATGTACTGTTGGGAGCCACGGGATGTGAGAGGAGCGAAACCGACCATGAAGAAGTGGAGACGTGGGAATGGGATAAGGTTCACTGCGAGTTTTCTTAGGTCAGAGTTGAGTTGTCCAGGGAATCTTAGAGAGCACGTTACACCACTCATAGTGGCAGAGATCAAATGGTTCAAGTCTCCAACTGCAAAATGTCATAATATATTATAATATTAGATTTTAGTTATATAGTTTTTGACACAATAAAGAAGTGGTACGTACAACTAGGAGTGCTGAGTTTGAGAGTGCGGAAACAGATGTCGTAGAGAGCTTCGTTGTCGAGGACCATGCATTCATCAGCGTTTTCAACGAGCTGGTGGACAGAAAGAGTGGCGTTGTAAGGCTCAACTACAGTGTCTGAGACCTTTGGAGATGGGAAGACAGAGAAGGTGAGCATCATCCTGTCTGGATATTCCTCACGGATCTTTGAGATCAATAAAGTTCCCATTCCAGAACCTGTGCCTCCTCCAAGGGAGTGGCATACTTGAAACCCTGTAAATACAAAACCAAGTGAAAATCAGACACAAAATATGAAGACCCTATTGTGATAATACATACATCCAATATTTCACTCTATAATAGAATAACTCGAGTAAACTATTGATATAAAATTTATTCTATAATATAATTATTTAACATTATTGTAAATTATAGAGAAAAATATAAATTATAGAATAAAATTCAATGTTACAGTACAGTGTATTAAATATGAATGATAATGTAGTTCATACTAAGAGACCAGATCCAAATGGTAATGAGATGTTTTGACAATGCTAAAAAACAATAATTCTTCTAAAAGCAGACTCTGACCCACTTGCTCTGTTCAATTATGTAACAAAATGATATGTTTCACCTCGATAGTATCAACACAACAGTCGTAGTGATTAGCTGGTTAAGGTTCACGTGATAAGTTTGATTTACTACAAATCAGGCAGAAACATTAGGGGGCCACAGTACACACTAAAGCCAAATTAAAACATTGTCTTTTAGACTAAAAGGAAGTTAACTTTTTCTCCAATACAAACACAATCTAGTGACTGCGTCTGAATAATAATATGTTCAGCAATAATGCGATGACTGTAATATTATGAAAAGTTTAGCCGACAAAAAAATTGCGGGCCAAATCAATAAGTGCTAACAGCTTAGTCTTAACAGTAATTAAGACTTTTAATTCAATTAGTCAGTTTGAAAAAAAAACATGAATTATTGAAGAAAAATCATGGTTCATTACTTCACTGACAGTAGTGAGAAAACAACTAAAATAATCACAAACCATGACTCTTAATCCAGGCACATAAAACCTGCGATTTAATTCTTCTGTAAATCATTAAATATCTACCAAACGATATCATAAGATCAATGATGCTTATAGTTTTTGTTCTCAAATTAATCATAACTACAAATGAAACTACCAAAATCGTGAATGAAATTCACAAACAAAATAAATAATATTATACATTGAAGATCAAGTGAATAAGAACCAACAAGATTTATTGGTTCGGATTAATAAAAATTTAAATTAAAGAATATGCATATATATACCTTGAAGGCAGTCACAGTTCTCAGCTTCCTTACGAACAACATCAAGAACAGCATCAATAAGCTCAGCACCTTCAGTATAATGACCTTTCGCCCAGTTATTACCAGCACCAGACTGACCAAACACGAAGTTGTCGGGACGGAATATCTGTCCGTACGGTCCTGATCTGATACTATCCATCGTACCAGGCTCGAGATCCATGAGAACAGCGCGAGGAACGTACCTTCCACCAGAAGCTTCGTTGTAATAAACATTGATACGCTCGAGCTGGAGATCGGCGGAGTCGCCGTTGTAACGTCCGGTGGGATCAACGCCGTGCTCGTCGCAGATGACTTCCCAGAATTTGGAACCGATTTGGTTCCCGCATTGCCCGCCTTGGACGTGGAGGATCTCTCTCATGGTGTGATTGATTGGCTGAAGAGAGATTCTGGTGGAGAGAGAGGTGTGAGAGGGATGATGGAGGAGAAGGAGAGAATAAGAAGGGAGCGCGGGAGAGAGAGGGACAAATTGACAGCGTGGGGGAAGTATGGATCTTGCCAGCTATAACCGTTACTCTTCCTCGTTTGAAATTTTTAAGTTTAAAATAATTATTTTTACCATTATGTATTGTCAACACAACACAAATTTACATATTTTAATTAAGTTTTTTTTTTTCTAATAACACAGATCACAAAAACTAAGTTGATTAATAGATCCAATTTTGTAACTATATTTATGTTGTTGTATTCTTGCATTTTATAATGCAAAATTATTGTGCTTTAGGGTATGTGAGACTTTATCTTAATTTTTTTTCTTATAAATGAGCCAAATTTCAAGCAACTTTAAACACTATCTTCACTAACTTCAAATAATTTATCGCGAAAATTACTTATGTTTAGCGATATTGATTATGTATCTAAATCAATACTTTAAACTTTACATACATTAAATCATTAACACCAACAATAATTCAATAAAATATTAACTGAATCATATATCCCACCAAAATCATTCTGTTATAGAACATATTGTGAAATTATTTGACTAGTTTTCATTAATATAAAAAGTAAGTTTGTCAGATAAATCCTGCATAAAACACAATAATTTTTGTAGATAATTAATCTTCTTCAGAATACTGACTCACAAGATGTATATTGTACTACGAAAACTTCATTGGAGCTCAACCCCCTGATATTTCTCTTTGATTGAAGGCAGCAACAATTGCGAACTATGGGAATAAGTAACAGTTACATAAATGCATAAACACATGAATGCGAAACGAATAGAGCAACTTGTATTTACTATCTGAGATGTTTCGGTGACATAGCACATGTAGCAAGATGTAGCTAGCGATGTGGAGATCTTGATACATGATAATGATAAAACCAATAATTGAGATTGTTTGAATAATCGTATAAACTTTTTTGCTCACACACCGATTGTTTTTTGGATCTACTATGCAATATAGACAACAAAAAAAAAAATAGGTAGAAAAATAATAATGTCATAGCACATGTAGACTGTAGTGAGATCTGAGATTTGATCATTTATTTTTATTATTATGTCAAGTTCGATCTACTGTTTATTTATGTACGTGAAGACCAATAATTGAACTTGTCAATAGGATCCTGTTATTTTTATATTTGCTTCCAACCTATTGTGAAAATGTTACTGAAAGAGACATTAAGGAAATGGGAGCACGTTAGCTGGCTTGTATTCATATGAATCCATCTGAATTTATTGAAAGAACAAGGCTGCTATAGTTTCATTAATTTTCACTGTCCCATGCTCAAAAACAGATGGGCTGGAATGGGCCGGTTGAGTGGGAAATATAATGTTGGGCCGAAGCAGGTAAGATGCGATTTGAATAAAACTTAGTCCTTTGAAATAAGATGCGATTTGAATTAGCTCTTGTCTAGTTCTATTTGTTTTGTTTTTTGTTTTCCTTGTTCTAGTTAGCTCCTCGTCCTTGCTCTCACGACGGTCGTCTGATTTTAATGTAGTACTGTTTCTAGTTTACCTTTGATTTTTAATTGTTAGTTCTTCGTATAAAGCGTCATAATTAAGTTAGTTTATCACCGGAGAACTCTCACGATCAACATCGATCCTGACATGGGAAATACCAAAATAAATTTTCAAAAAATTGGCCGTTTTTATAAGAACGTTAAATACTACTATAATAATTTTTTTTTTGGTAAAATGTTAATATTTATACCATTTTTTAATTTTTCACATTGTTGCTTACAACTTATTAAACATGAAAATAAAGAAACAAAAACAACACAACTAGAGCCCAGTAAACCGCTCAAAGCGGCTGATAGGAATCAAAGTAAAGAAGCAGCAACGAGGAAGTAGGGGACCTCGCACGGCATGATAGCAGCCGATCCCGAATCAGACGGTCAATCGCAGCGCGGAGTACCGGAAGCGGAGTTGATACAGAGGTGAAGATTCTTGCATTTCTTTCCTTCCAAACAAAGTAGATGATGACCTGAAAGTAGAGTTTGAGGAGCGTGGCTTGATTGTTGTTGAAGGGGCGATGAGGAGAGTTTATCCAAGCTGCTACTGAATGCAAGTCCCAACCATAAATGAGAGGAGAAGCTGCATTCAAAGAAGAGGTGGTGATGTGTCTCAACTGACGAGGAGCAGAGTACACATTCGCTGGGGACATTAACTCCCCAACTACGCAGTCTGTCCTTAGTTGGTAAGCGCCGCAGCAACGCCAACCAGGATGTGATAGAGTTCCTCGGAATATTTTCCTTGAACCATATGACTTTATACCAAGGTACAGTGGGAGTAGGATCTCTCAACAGCTCCCAAGTTTTCTTTGAAGAGAAGGTAGGTTCAAAAGAGTCATTGGATTTACGCCATAAAAACCTGTCAGGTTCATTAGAGGGCGCTGGTGGGTTTACCTCTGTAATTGCAACCAAAATCCTCTGCAGGTCACTGGACCTAACAGCCGGGAAACTCCAAGACCCACTAACCGTAGCATCACAAACCGACGCCGTCTTTCTCAATCTCAAACTTCTAGGGCCTCCTTGACCTGCAACTTCAATTAAAGGACCCAAAGTTGTCCAGTTATCAAACCAGAAATTTGCTACATCTCCATCACCGATCACACACTTCATAAATCTGGATAGCAACAGCCTTAGCTGAAGCATACTACGAATAGTCGACGAGAACCGCGGTGATTCCGGTGTTAACCAGAAACCATTACGGTGGAAGATATGCTTCTTCAGCCAAGCTACCCAAATAGACCCAGAGTCAGTAAAAAAGGTCCAAACTCTCTTTAATCTGAAAACCAACTCAAGCTCCTCAAGATTTCTAATTCTAAGCCCACTTTCAGATTTTGGCTTACACACATCAGTCCAAGCAACATGCGCCCCCCTAGCCGAGGAAGTATCATTGTTCCAGAGGAAACGAGCACAGAGAGAGTCAACCTTAGCATAGAAAGCTTTAGGCAACACAAATACAGCACTCCAAAAATTCACCATACCATAGACAACTGAGGCCACCAGTGTGATCTTACCCGCAAATGAGAGATATTTAACAGTCCAGGAATGCAACTTACTTGATATCTTGTCAAGGAAAAGCTGAAGAGTGGCTAGCGTAAGTCTCCCTGGGTTAAGTGACAAACCGAGCTAGCGCGTTGGAAAAATTCTCCTTTTAAAACCTGAGATATCACTTATCGCAGCAGCTTCAATGTCATTGTATCCTCCAAAAAAAATCTCTGATTTTTGCGGATTCATCTCAAGACCAGATATACTTTTAAAGGTTGACATCACCTCAGAGATTCCAGCAAGTGAAGTCCGAGAACCATCAGAAAATACCAATAGGTCATCAGCAAAGAGCAAATGAGTAACCCTTGGATCTTCACATTTTGGGTGTAGTTTGATCTTTCCCTCCATAGATGCTTTTTCTATAATTTTGGACAGAGATTCCATGACCATTATAAACAAATAAGGAGAGATGCAGTCTCCTTGCCTAAGACCCTTCTCACCCCTGAAAAATCCAGCCAATTCACCATTTATTGCCATAGAGAATCTAGGCGATGTTATGCATTCCTTAACCCATTGTCTAAACACTGGCGGAAAGTCTTGTACCTCTAATAGCTTCAATAAATAGTCCCAGCAAATGGTGTCAAAACCTTTTCGAATATCAACCTTAAGCATGGAGCTCTTGCTGCAAGACGCCTTCTCATAGTCCCTAATCAGTTCTGAAGAAAACAAAACATTCTCTCCTACTATAATAATTTTCTTATAAAAATGTTGAATTTTTCAAGTATTTTTTGAAGACCGAAAACGGTTGCTTGTAATGTTTCCCCTTAGAGTCGGTACTGCTCATGACGGTCGTTTGACATTCAACTCTAGCCGAAACAGTCGAATAATTTTTTTGTCCATCACCTTTAACCTCGAGTAAAGCTCTGGACCGACCAAGAAACATTGACCTACTTGCTACCAGGATTGCTGCTCATGAATATCGATAAACCTTAAACCCAAAACACATTTAATTAATTATAAAATAGTCATACACACTTCGCTGGTTTTAAGCACATAATATATCTGAGTTAACTTGAATTGTCAGACGTGATCAATGGTGGTTGGTCGGGATATTAAATTAAATCTAAATCTGTCGTGTATAAATGACTGAACCGGGCTGAGGCTCAAATCTAGTAGTAGTAGGAGCTGTAATCTCCCGTCTTCGTCATGAAGTTGACTTTAAGTATGTCTTCCTCTTAAAAAAAAAATGTTTTATGCCTTCCTCTTCAAAAAAAGAGGTTTAAGTATGTCTTGAGGCTCACGTATGTCTTTCTCTTCAAAAATACGTACGTTTGTGAGAGAAAATGATACGAGTAATTTGACTTTATAAGTAATTTCTGGAAAGAATTAAAAGAAATCACCTTTTTGAAATACAAAAAGCTTCTTTGTATCCAAGCCCATTAACTAGAATACCGCCATGAGTTGATAAACTGAGACCATTGTTACGTCACAACACAGTGATTGCTTGGGGTCACTAGTGCATTTGGGAATTTCATAGACAGCGTAACCATCCTATATTCATCTGCACTCTATCACTTAATCATACTACTTACTCAATATACGAACCATTTGACGCCCATTAAGTATTTGTATTGTATACTTATGTGACAATAAGGTAGATAGAAATTGAGAGGCAAGAGGATCGCATATGATATGTTACAAAGTGGATGTGACATGTCTGATAACAAAAATGGCCGCTTAGACCCACAAGATTAATAACTTAGTAAGGAAACTATCGAAAATTTATTTCTCTTTTGTATCTTTTTATCTTTCACAGTTCACACTACCTTTATAAACAGTTAAAAGTGACAACATTCTTCACACTTGACAAAAAATATCTAGCAGATACTTATACAGAAAAGATTTTTATTGTTGAACCAACAAATTATTTTGGTGGGAAACTGGGAATATATGGTTGCTCAATCAAACGCAAAGATTTTATATGGATTCTCCAATATAAGCTAGAGGCCCCACGGCTATCACCAAAGATGTTGAAACATCCACTAGAGTACAATGCCTAGTTGGTCTGAAAATGAAATGATAATTTTATAAATCATTTGGTCTTAAGACTTTCAAGTTCGTCATCATTTTTGTACTATATAAGTCTAGGCACTTGATTCTTTGTTACTTGCAAAAAATCACATATGTTTCCATTGTCTCTACCGAAATTCCTGTAAGTGTAAACATTGGTAAAGTAATATTGTTTCACACGTCTACTATATAATCGTCATTGCGTAATTATTCAGTAAAGTTAAAAGAATCTTCAAACATAAATTACTTTACGTTTTGTAGATATTTTTGAATTAAAAAGTGGAGGTCAAAAGGTGGTTGAATGTTTTCGTTGAAAAACATCAATCAAATACTAACAACACATAGTGATTAAACCATTTCTCAAACCAGACCTTAGACTAATACATTATCGTATAGCTTATGAACCGATTAAATAACAAAATTAGCTCAACATGTCAATACTATGTAAAATCATTTAAATAAGCAGCAAATGATTTTCTTAGTCTCAACGGTTAAAAAGTCACAATCCAATCGCGTGTAACCACGTAAGCAGGCGTACCATAAGCCACCAACCAAGACATACACATGATTTCTACCGACATAAAAAAAAAAAGCCAACGGAACATGCTTTTCTATAAATCATACATCATCTTCATAATCTCTTTTTCGCCCTCAGAATCTATCTCTTAAAAGAATAAGAAGAAGAAGAAACACAGCAATATAAAATACTTTAAAAAATCTCAACACTCATCTTCTTCTTCTTCTCAATCCAATGGCTCTCCCATTGCCATTGATCTTCTTCCTCATGTCCTGGTTCCTAACAAGGACTGAATCCACGAGCTTCATCATGGAGAACAAATGTGAATACACAGTCTGGCCAGGACTTCTCTCCAACGCCGGAGTTCCACCACTTCCAACAACAGGCTTCACCCTCCAAAAAGGCGAAGAAAGAACCATCACCGCTCCAGCTTCATGGGGCGGACGCTTCTGGGGAAGAACACAATGCTCCACAAACACCGACGGCAAATTCTCCTGCGCCACCGGAGACTGCGGCTCCGGAACCCTCGAATGCTCCGGCTCCGGAGCCACACCGCCAGCCACACTAGCCGAGTTCACGCTCGACGGATCCGGTGGTCTCGACTTCTACGACGTCAGCCTCGTCGACGGCTACAACGTCCCCATGCTCGTCGTTCCGCAAGGAGGGTCGGGACAGAACTGTAGCAGCACGGGTTGTGTCGTGGATCTGAACGGGTCGTGTCCTTCGGAGCTGAGGGTGACGAGTGTTGATGGTGTGAAACTGTCTATGGGTTGTAAAAGCGCGTGCGAGGCGTTTAGGACGCCGGAGTATTGCTGTAGCGGCGCGTTTGGGACGCCTGATAAGTGTAAACCTTCGGAGTATTCGTTGATTTTTAAGAACGCTTGTCCACGTGCGTACAGCTACGCTTACGATGACCAGAGCAGTACCTTCACATGCGCTAAGTCTCCGAACTACGTTATCACTTTCTGTCCAGCTCCGAACACGAGGTAAAAATTACGTTTATGACCTCGCGTCTTATTACCAATGTGAATGTCAAGCTTTGTCAGGGAGGGTATTTTAGTCAATAGAGAACCGGTAATTCATGTTGTTTCCACTGTTACAGCACTAAAGCATTAATTAGTAGGCTATGATTAAGGTTAGGTGCGGAGGGTAGTTTCGTCAAAATTGAATAGACGTCAGATTTACTACATTGACATTAATGAATCATTGAATAACCTGTTGCTTTACCTTGGAATAGAAGTCACTTAAGTTTTACTCCCTCTGTTTTAATATAAGTGTCACTCTACAGCTATGCACACGGATTAAGGAAACAATTAATTTTACATATTTCCTATATAAAAACACAATTACCTATACACCTAACCATATTTTAACCAATAGAAAAATAAATTATATAATAAAATTAATAAATTTTACATTGAAAACCGAAAACGACACTTATTTTGTAACACAAAAAATTCTCTACAATGACACTTAATATAAAACGGAGGGACTATTAGATTGTTTTCTTGTCATTTATTGTCACTGTAAATATTTCTTTTGCTTTCTACTGCAAAAAAAAAGAAATACTGTAGATAGGTGTTTCATTACGTTTTTATTTTATTAATTTTTTGCTTTATCAATTTATTTTAATATATTCTATAAATATTTAATACTCCCGATGACCATAGAGCATGGGGAAGAGAGTTTTAGATTTATTGGGATGTGTACGCTTAACGGCCCATCGACATTTTTTAATGTTTTCTCCACTCGCAAGGATGCGTGGCAGAAGCACTTACTATAGTTACTAGTACTTACTAACGTCTTGTTTTTAACTGTGGCAGTCAAAAATCATCTCAAGATCAAAACCAAGACACGAAACCGACGACACCACCTGGGACGTCAACAACTCCTTCCGGAGGAGGTACGACGTGGTCGCCGGAAGATACATCGATGATATACGAAGGAGCTCTAGATCAGAGCAAAGCATCATCACCATACTCATGTCATCCTTCGTTATATGGAATCACAGTCACACTCGCGCTGGCCTTTTGTCGGATGTGGTGGCTCTTTTGACCTAACGTTGTTTTTGTCTCCCGCGGTAAACACTGAATCAGGACAATGTGGGCCCCCACTAAAGCCTTATCTCTTCCCGGCCCATGTGACCTTTTTCACTGAGAACGACGTCGCTGAGTGAGAGTTGAAAAAAGTTACAAGGGAAAAGCTCCTTACCCAAACTACAAGATTACCCTTCATGAGAGGATTCTTGTTTTTGGTGAGGAACATGTGGGGGGGGGGGGGAAAGAAAGTGGGCTGCTTGTGGACTTCAGAAAAGATGGGAATCATATTTGTTTAATCTTTAATAAAATTATTAATTAGGATTATAATGTAACGTACACTATATAAAGTAATCTATAAGTTTATATTCTGGAAAATGGGGGAATATTTCATTTGTTTTTTATGTAGTGATCTTGGTTGGCCATTTGAAACATTGAGATGAATAATTACACTTATTATATACATGTGTTTGGTTCTTGTCTCGGACATAATAGCCATAAGAAATTCATAGATTCTATGTTATTAATGGAAAAAGTAATCATAGAAACATTATTTACAACTGATGCGGTAACCACTAGCTGAGAAAGAGATTAAATAATTAGTATACAATAAGGGTGAGTTGATGATGATGAGGCCTTTGATAGTGGGAGTGGGAAACTTATAAATATAACCAACTAACCAAGTGTCCATTTCACTGCATATGATTTGACAAAAATAGAATAAAGCCATCATGGAATTGAATATATGTGCTTTATTCACTCCTCTAGTAAGAAAAAAACAAAATGATAAGATGGGTTAAGACTTCTCATTGACAAAATAGAAAATGGGTAAAAACAAGTAGAAGCAATGTTGCCTAATGATTAAAATTTAAAAGTTTTTATATTTAGGATTATGATTTGAAATCTAGGTAACATAATTTCTTGCAGATTATATGATGTAAATTTATAAAAGGTTCCAGAGTATTAGCAGATTATATGATGTAAATTTATAAAAGGTTCCAGAGTATTAGCGGTAGAACCATTTGTTGTAGTCGTCTGCAGCAGAGTGGGTATATCTATTGAAAGTTTGTATATGCAAATTTATTCGTCGATTCAAGTGCTCCGATAGAGCTTCATCGTGGAATCATCTGTGAAATTGTACATCAAAGTTGCATATATGTTATAAGTAGTTGATAGAGTGAGGTATTATATGATATGATTTAGTTGTTAGCTAGAGTTAATAAAAAAATGGATTAACAGTAGAGCCCAGTGGCAATTGATAAAGGCCCATTATAAACCATTGCCAAGCCCATGTGAAGGTTGGAGATATTTTATTTGTTTTATCTTAGGACATCATAAATGATTATAACATGCGTGAATGTCATAGGACTCGTAAATGTCTGACATGCGTGGCCAGTCTCACGACGTTGCTTCCCATTCTTCATACGCCGTCGTTTCACACGAGGGTACCAGCAAACTCTTCTCTCACTGAGTCATCAGATTCAAATAATTTCTTACCAAGGGTGTTTCCGTAGTTTTAAATTATTCCCTTTGGCAAGTATCACGCCTGAAGAGTGTCATCAGCAACTTTTATTTATTAATAATCTCCACCGGCGCAATTGCCACGAAAGCCTAAAGAAGAAACGCTTTTAACTCTTATGTGTTTATCCGACGCGGTTCTCCGTAACCTCGTGACGGTTTACGTGGCGGTGATCATCGCGATCAAGGTGTATGGAACTGTCTCAGGGACGAGCTTCGGTGCTGGATTCGTCGTCGTGGTTTCTGTTACCGCGGTTGGAGTTTTGCTTGCGGTTACGCTAGCTTGGGACGTGACTCGTAGAGCGACGGATGCGGTTTCGCGGTATAATCGCGTTGGGGTTGAGGATCTTAGTCACCGTAACCATCACGACGGTGTTGGTGGAGTTTGTAAAGGAGGGATTTGCTGGCACGGTGTTGCGGTTCGGTCACCTGCTTCTCAGGTTCGGTTTAGGCTTCCACAACATATACCGTATGGCGCTCTCTGAGTGCATAATTTGAATGTTTTTGTTTTTTTTGTTTGACTAAAATGTTTCCCTTTTTTGTTACTTAGTTTCCTATACATATTGTATATGTTGTAAATGTTATGTGATGATGATAAATGTTCCTGTTTTCTAAAATTAAAATTGATTTTGGATTTAAGAGACTAAAGCACATGCCTAACTGTAAAAAAAGAATACATGACAATCTGTATGTTAAGATCTTAAGTTGGATATTGGTAAGAATCTGGCAGATGAAGATATGTTCTGTGAGAAGAAGAAAGTGGAGTGGATTGGCTCCAAATCATCACGCAGACAGATGATAAAGGTTGAAGTCTACTGGTAATGAACACAATCTTTTTGTTTCTTTGTAGATTTATTGGTTTTTTTAGGCACACAACTTCGTCTGAAAGAAGAAAGAGCTAAAGTTTACAAGCCATCATCAATAAGCATACGAATCACATTACAGAGTAAATAAAAAACACATAGAGGCAATATACAAATCGATCACACAACAAATATACATACATACAACTCAAAAGTAATTTAAAAACCATATATGTTCACTTAGAACAACAACAACAACAACACAACAAAATATTCATCATCATTACACACGAAACACATCTTATTATTATTTTTTTTTAATTTTCTCTTTGATTGGGTTAGAAGGCGATTAAGTTAGTCACGGATTTAGGAGGGTTAGTGAGCATGTGCACAACTTCCCTCATCGTAGGCCTTGACGCTGCCTCATCCTCCACACACATCATCGCTATCTCGAACACATGAATCACACTCGTCAACGGGTACCCAGTCAACCTCTGGTCAACGATCGCAACAACAGTAGCTGCATGTGACTGCTGAGGCATCTCCCCCTCTGTGTTCCTCACCCACCTCACTATATCCACTCCTTCCCCAAACTCACCAACCGGTTTCTTCCCAGCTATTAACTCCAATAACACCACTCCAAAACTATACACATCACTCTTCTCGTCCACTTTCAAAGTGTATGCATACTCTATCAAAACCATAACAAACAATCATTAGTGCATGCTTTAGTAATTAAGGCCAGATTTATCGTTTAAACTAACCTGGAGCGATGTAACCATAGGAGCCAGCAATTGAAGACATACACTCAGAAGCAGCACCGTCCACTAAGAACTTAGCAAGCCCAAAATCAGCAACATGGGCCTCAAAATCAGAGTCCAGCAAAATGTTATTGGACTTAACGTCTCTATGCAAAATCAACGGCGAACAGTCATGATGAAGATAACACAGCCCCTTCGCAGCTTCCACAGCTACTCTAAGCCTCGTCTCCCACTGTAGATGACCTCCTTTAGAACCATGCAAAAGCTCACCAAGGCTACCGTTAGGCATGTACTCGTACAAAAGCAGGTTCGTATCCTTGTTCGCCACGTAACCGAGCAATCTCACTATATGACGGTGACGGATTCTCCCTAACGTCTGTATCTCCGCCGTGAATCCGTGATCGCTCCTCCCTGTTCCGCGTCCCACTAACCGTTTGATCGCGACGTCTACGTTGTTAGGCATGGATCCTCGGTAGACGATCCCCGCTCCTCCTTTCCCGATTATGTTCTCCTCTTGGAGACACTCGAGGACGTCTTCCGCCTTGAAATCGAGTCGTTGGAAGGCGGTTAGCTTCCACGAGAGAGACCTCTCGTGTTTCTTCCTGTTCATCTGACGGATCGCGACGCTGATGAGAATCAGCGCCGTGATCGCGGCGATCACCGTGATTACGATCCGGGAAGGCGAGAATAGCGCCGCGTGGATGCGATCGGAGGTTAGACCGGGACGCGTGAGGCAGGAGACGTGGTGAGGGAGGCAGAGGTAAGGGTTTCCGGCGAAGGAAGTGTCGTTGAAGACTAGGAACTGGCCGCCGAGTGGGACTCTCCCCGAGAGGTCGTTGAAGGAGAGATCGAGAGTTGTTAAGCTCGTCATCTTCCCGATTCCGATCGGGATCGAGCCGGTGAGTTGATTCCCGGAGAGATTTAACGTTCCTAAGTTAATCACATCGTGGATGTCTTTAGGGATGTCTCCGTTGAGTCTGTTACGGCTGAGATCGACGGAGATTAAGGAAGTGCATCGCGTGATTGAGTTAGGGATCTCGCCGGTTAGGTTGTTAGCGCTCGTGTTGATCTTCGTTAGATGCTTCAACTCGAAAACTTCTTTAGGAATATTCCCGGTAAACCGGTTCCGGTCTAAGAATAAATCCTGTAGATTTCTAAAATTACCGATAGCCGGTGGGATCGAACCGGTAAACCAGTTGTTAGATAAATAGATGTGATCGAGAACGTCCCCTGACATCTCCCTCGGAAGCTCCCCGGAGAAGAAATTATCTGTGAGTTCGATTATCGTAACGAGCGGGAGATTGAATAGTCCCGCTGGAATTGTCCCGTTGAGGAGATTCTTGACGATTCGGATCTTGTTTAACGATTTGCATTGACCTAGCTTCTCAGGGATGGAGCCGAAGAAGAAGTTGTTGGAGAGGACTAACGTCTCCAGCTTCCCGCCTCTACATAGATCCAAAGGGATAAGTCCCGTGAGATGATTCTCAGAGACGTCTAGCTTTTTTAGATTCCCGTTCCGGCCGATATTCGCCGGTAACTGTAACGTGAAGTTGTTCTCCCAGACTTGGAAGACTTGGAGGTTCGGCATGTCTCCGATGAAGTCAGGTATAGGTCCGTGGAGATTGTTTCTGAATAGGTTGATTAGTGTTATGTTTCCGAGGGAGATGAAGCTCTGGGGGATCTCTCCGGTTAGCTGGTTTATTGAGAGGTCTAGTGATTTTAAGCTGATTAAACCGGAGAGTTCTGGTGGGATGTTTCCGGTTAAGTTGTTGATGTGGAGGAAGAGAGTGTGTAAGTGTTTTAGGTTGCTTAGAGTTGTCGGAATCTCTCCTGTGAGTGTACAGCTCGCCATGTCGAGGATCTCTAGGTTCGCTAGTTCGCCGAACTCCGGTGGAACGCCGCCGGTGTAGCTGTTGAAGTAGCCTACGTACATTTCTTTGAGATTCTTGAGGCGTGACAAGCACGCCGGAGATTTACCGGAGAGTCCAGCTCCGTTGAGACCGAGATATTCTAAGCTTTGGATGTCTCCGTAACTCTCTGGGATCTCTCCGGTGAAGAAGTTTCCTCCGAGAGAGAGGTGTCTCAGCTTTGTAAGCTTGGGTATCTCCGGCGGTAATGGTCCGGTGAAGTTGTTGTTGTACGCGTCGAGGACTTCGAGGTTAACCATGGGAGTGAGAATCTCTCCGGGGAAGGTTCCGTTGAGGTTTCCGTTGTTAGAGATGTTTAGAACTTTGAGAGAAGTGAGACTCTTCATCTCCAACGGCAACCTACCGGAAAAGTTATTAGCAGCTAACGTCAGATTCTCAAGACGGTTCAACATCCCAATCTCCGGCGAGATGGTTCCGAACAGAGGAGTGAAAGAGACGTTGAGGGAGACAACACGAGCGTCACCGTCGCAGGAAACGCCGGAGAAAGAACAGTGAGCTGTTGGAGAAGTGGAGTGAACCCAGTCGTGGAGGCCATGGCCGTTGCGACCAATCATGGAGGATTTGAGGTTGAGGAGATGGTCCATGTCGGAGGAAGCTAAGCTTGGTGAGAAACATAGAAGCAAAATCGAGATAAGGTAATTGAGATGGAGAAACAGAAGGTGTGTTTTCAAAAGTCTCATCTCCATTTTTTAAAAAAAGCTGTCTTCTCAGAGAGAAAGAGAAGAGAATAAGAAGTTAGCGTGAGTCTTATGCGATAGGACGAGTGCAGAGATATATATGAACAATCACCACAATGGCATATTGTGAAGAAGATGGAGAGAATCGTAGTGGTACTGTTCTAAAATACTGCTAGACTTTCACAGAGAATATTATTACTTTTTAAATCTTTTTTTTATATGACTTTGAATTAGAGAATAAATATACCACTAGAAATAATGCGCAGAATAACAACTTTTCTTCTCCAATGTATCGAGTAGTAATTTTGTGATGGTTATATTATTCTCTATCTAGTAGATTTATGAAATAGAAACCATACGGATATAAACGGGTAAAAGGACATCCAGCTTGTAGATACGAACCACGACTTGTGGTCAATGTAGTGTCAGTCTCTTATTGGCTTTTTTATGTCACATACAGTACTAATTTTCAAATTCAGTGTTTTGTTAGGGTGCTCAAATAATTGATTTTTTTGAATTATTCCAAGTAATAACAGTATTTTAGTATTATTTTCGTTATTTAATCATGTGAGTTTTAGACAATCTATGATAATTCTGGGCTAACTAACGATTTGTGCTCGAATTGTAATGCAAACCCACAATCCACTACCAAATATATGTGCAGATTCAAAATATAGGCTTCAGAGATACTTTTATCACAGTCGTTTTTACAGTTTAGACACAAAGTTATTTGGAGAGTAGCCGCCACTACACAAGCACAAGACATGGAAAACCGGGAAACGTCGTCGTTTGCTTTCCTCTGTTAAATCGTCTGACACGATTTACATCGAGAAAGTTTATCTTTTTGGCTATATATATCAAAATAAATGGATAACTTCATGGCAAACGCTATTACAAAATGGCTATGATCTGAACTGACCGTTATAGATGATAGACAGGGCTTTAACTTTACGTTCTCTGGCTAGAGCTGTGGCTTCGTTCTTCTCATCCGCTGTCTTGTCATCTCAACGAGTTTACTTTTAGTCCGACGACGTTTCCTTCTCATCGTCACGTGATGAGAAGAACAATGGAAAATATATTTAAAAAAAAAACTAAAAAAAGACAAAGAGAGGAGTTAATGGGCTTATTAAGTAGGGCCTAGTTATTAAATGGCCCGTAGAGAAAGTTTGTCTGTGTCCTTTCCAAAAGAGACAAATCTGCCCCTTCTATTTTGGCTTCAATCTAATAGTCAACGCCCCTTTTCTTGTCTTTGTCTACAACTCACTCTTCTTGTAGACCTTCTTCTGCTGTGCTTCAGGGTCCCCACGTTCTGTGTTATTTACCTTTGGTTTCGTAAATCATTCTGACTTTACCCTTATCTTCTCTCTAGTAATAAAAAAAATTCCTTATAAAAGTCGTTGCTTTGATACTAAACTCGAATTTATTTCGGAGTCTGTGGAATAAT